GTCAGATTTCAAGCTCGAACAGACCATGTTACTCACATGGAGGATAAACGACCACTGGACCTAATGGTTCTGCAATATTCGTCATGGTTTGAGCTTAAGAAGAGAGTTTCTTGGCGTCTGAGATTTAAGAAAAATTCCTTAAGAGCAAAAGTTGCTTAGAAGAGGACCCTGTTGATCCATTACCTTGTGGAAGGCTATCGATAGACGAATTACGACATGCAGAGGCTCAAATCATCACATACGTGCTAAAATTAGCTTCCTCGCCAGTCCTTAAAGCCCTCTCAGACTTGAGCCCAGGAGAATCTGAGAAGCGTAAATTGAAGATTATCGGCTCATTTGGTTCAGTGTACAAATTGAGACCATTTCTGGATGGAGCAGGAATATTGAGAGTTGGTGGTCGCCTTCAAAATTCTTCATCGGATTACCAATCGAAACATCCATTGCTTTTACCTTCAAAGCACCATGTTACCAAGCTGCTCATTACCGATGTTCGTGAGTCTGTGGGTCATCTAAAGTATTGTGCAAAAGTAATGCAAACACCTGTCGACGAAATTCGACGAAATTCCTGACTTTTCGACGAATTCTTGACCGAAACGAAACTTCGACGACATTTCCGCGAATTTTCTAGGCATGTATTGTTTTGAACGGCTCGAACTTTCGGCGACAAATTCCTTGATGGCGTAAATGCGACTCGAAATTTCGAGCGAAAATTCGTTCTATGTGGCGAATTTTCGGGGCTAAAATTCTTTCTATGTGGCGAATTTTCGGGGCGAAAATTCGTTGTATTGTTTATTCTTCTCAAAAAGATTTGGTTGAATTTGTGGTTGGTTACTACACTGTGTAATACTCCCATAAAATTTCCCGCTACGATTCCAGTCTCGGCGCGCCCTATATTGTTTGCAACCATGGCAACACTCAGTATATTAATTGTGTCGATGCGTTTGGGATCATTTATGTACTCTACTTTTGATAGTCACCATGGCAAAAGTTTCAAATTATTCTAGAAATAGAATCGAGATCCTATTAGAGAGATCTTGTTAGATTTTAGATACAGCATCACCTTCATCAGTTGTGATCTCTTCGTCGGATTCATTTGATGGTGAAGAAGATGGATATCCTTTGTCCTCCATAACAGCGGTGGAGGCTGAATCTAATAGTTTTTCGCAAGAAGACCTTAGAATTACCTCAGACCTAGTATCCAAAGCCATCAGGACTATTGACAATACAGCAAGTGTAAGTCATAACCTAAAACATTTTTGACCTTCACTTAACCTAAACTTCAAAGCATGTCATTTTAAGCATTTAGGCCATTTCGTCCATTGGAATAAAAAACAGCTTTGAAATAAATCAGGGTTTCAAACTTAGCTTTACACTTTTGGATTTGACATGCCTAATATTTTTTATATAGTGGACAAACCAGAATGACTACAGCACCCAAATGATGGCGACTGAAGAACTTCAGTTTATCAGGACTGTCTTGGGCAGGCTTGAGTGCTCCTTTGCCAGGCAGGAGGCCAAGATGGATCGCATCCTGACCTTGCTGACATCTTCAACTTCTTTGCTGCAAACTCCCCTGTGTACGTCCTTAACACCAGTTAACTCACATTTTACGACGCCATTGCCGACCGATTCTTCCGCTGAATTTCCACCGCACCCTGTCACGCCTAGGCCGCAGGACGTGGAAGGTCGTTGTCCAAATCAGTCCTCTACTATGTGTAGTCCTATGGAAGATGGTAAATAATATCGTTTATTTTACTTGTGTGAAGGAAAAATACCCAAATAGAAATCCGTGAACTTGCCTGATCCTTCACACTCTTGCTGAGCATTAAATTAGTTTTGATGGATAAAACTATTTTGAGAATGAAACTTACCTGTTTTATATGTTATTTTTAAGGAAATGGTACAGTTGCAGTTGGAGGAAATGCTAATGTGCGGCTGACAAAATCTGACTACAATTTTGCGAAGGCTGCCTCCAAACCCACCGTCATGAGCCTTCGTCTAGTTGACCACCTCTTTACAAAAGACGCCCTTACGAAGTCAACTGTTCAGGGTACCAAGGAATTTGCTCCCCTTGACCGAGACAAACTTGATGCAATTAAAAGTGAGTAGATGAATATTTATTGATAAAAACTACGCAGATATGGAATTTGTTTTCTTAAAATCGCAATGTATAATTTGGGGCTGACTTTATTCTGTTTGAAAGGAACTTCTTAATAACCCTCACCGGATTGTAGTTATTTATTTATGTTGGTGGTTAGGAAGCCAGGATGAATAGCCGGTTTATTTGTCAACATTGATTAATCGCTGTTCATTTGCATTCTTTTCAGCTGAAGTGCTGACCTCCTTTTCTTATCAATGCCGGGGAATGGAAGACGTTCGACGGATGTGGAAACAGTGCAAAATAAGTATTGGCAAAAGATGTCAGAATTTACGAAAAAATAGAGCAATGTGACTAAACTAATTGTTGTTTTCAGTCGTCACAAATTGGAATTCAGTGTTTTGTTGTGAAGAATAAATATTTCCGAACAAACATGGTGTTGTGATATCTGGAAAGCATGCTGCAATCAGCGATATGGGTGATGTCTATTTGCGCAGGGATCGAAAACGAATAAACAAGAAACATTTTTCCCAATAGAAAACGTTTGAAAACACACTAAAGATGTTCTCTGCTCCGTCTGGTTAAAAAGCGGAGTACTTAGGTTAATGTTAAAAACTGTTGCAATCATTTGAGAGTTTATTTCCATGAAATACATGTCTCTTGGTCGGAATTGCTATTCATCCCTATTTACTTTCATTGTTGTAAACTGATCGAACTCTGAATTGGATTTGATGGTTCAGGCCTCTTTAAACGTCAGGAAATTGAAGTTGATGTGAAAAATATCTGGATTTGTCTGGGCGACAATTTCAGCTGAGTACATGTATCTTCGGAATTACTGTAGGACGCTTGGGACAATTTTCCGATTTACTTTCGTTGTCAAACACAAATCGAGCCCAGAATCGGACGTGATGCTTTTCGATATTTTGACCTTTTGTCTACTGTGTTTAGTCTCAAGTATGAAGTGTCTCCGTCCTAGTGACTAAAAAAGACTGGAAATACGTTTATATGTACATTTCGTGTTGCTTACATGAATAGTAAACAAACTTGATTACTCGCGAAAGTCTATTGTAAGTTCGAAGCGAAATTTCGAACACTAATGATCGAAGAGACACTTTCTGCCGCGAAGTTTCGCTTTGTGACGAAAATTCAACGAAAAAGCGCCCTTTGTTCAAACGAAATGTCGCTTAAGAGGCCTCGAACTTTCGGTCGAATTTTTGCTCGAACTTTCGACGAAAGATCGTTAGAACAAATAACGAAATTCGCCGAATTCCGTTTGCCTTACTTTTGCACAATACTGTAGGTCAAGAGTATATCCTGACCAGCTTGAGACAAAAGTACTGGATCTTCAAGGGACGGGCTGCTCTTTGCATAGTACTCAGTAACTGTTTGATACGCCAAAACAACAGTGTTACTTTTGGTTAAGAGTTTTACTACCAGACCTGGTTCCGCCACAAATTGTAAATTCGTTTCCATTTCATGTAGCTCTGTCGTTAGCCTTGTTGTTATATATGTTCTTAGATGTTTGTATTAATTATTTATTTTCAGTCGAATCACATGCACACAACTACACATCTTTACATCTACGTCTGTCGGGCAAACAGATTAGCTGTACATTCATTTTGTGGCGAACCAGGCGCTACAAAACCTTTCCCATTTAATTTGGAAATGTACTTTTTCCGATATTACAAGAAACCATTAGGCTCCATCTTAACATTAAATAAAATTAATCATTAATATGTATAATATTAACATATTAACACTTGACACTTTGTCACTCGACCTTTTATTTCAAACTTAGCCCCGTCCATTGATATCTATGTTCCATTGGGTTTAATACTGAAAGGTCAGTTTTGTTCTAAGATTTTATGGACGTCTTTGTAGTTCTCTGACATTTTGGGTGCTCTGTAGTGATAGTGTTGACAATGATAATAATTATAACGATGATAATAGTTATAATAATATCAATGATAGTAATGTTGGTGACAATGATATGAATAATAATAACAGTTTTAGGAAGTATGGTCTATCATACCCAGAACCTTCGTGAAAAAAATTATTTAAGCTAACTTATTATTATTATTATTATTATTATGTGTTCTTTTGACCACCATGTAAAACTATGTCATCATAATAGCACGTTCTTTAGGGTTACGGAATGAGTTCGAGTAAAAGACAAAGAGTGAATTAAGTCACTAAAAGTCTGAAACTTAGCGAAGGACTGTAGACTCACACACAGTCATAACACAGACTGCTAAATCTATATCAAAATTAAAAAATTTGTTTGCAGAGTTGTTATTATCGCGTAATTACTTTCTTCAAACTCATACGATTATGTGAATCTCGTCAGGTGTCGTGCAGCGACTCAAAAGATCTTTATGAGTAAAAGGCTGTACCTTCTACAATGGAAGGAGTAAGAATAAGCATAATTATAGATGTATAAAAGTATTCTTTTTATTTCTCTAAAGACTCCTTTCAGTTGTGGTTTAATGAATATTTTGAAGCATATGCTGGCCATCTTCAAACACAAATTACTTAATTCATGTGGCGATGCAAAACCTTTTTTCAAGTGGGGTGGGGGAAGGGAAAGGAACCATAGTACTCGTTCAAAAAATATAATTCAATCACTCTTTGGGCCTACTTACACATGTTACAAGTTTCTTTATCAAATATTAAAACATTGTGAACAAGGCTAATCGTAACATGTTCATGCTACTGCGTGCATTAAAACATAAGTTTACTCTCGAGCTTAGTAGCACACTCTGTCAGTACGATCTCTGTTGGGATTTTGGACAATGTTCAAGCAGAATTATTGTTAGATGGAACCACTTCTCAGCAATTTTTGTGAATCAAGGCTCTTCATAATTTTTGTAAATGTAAAAGGACACGGCTTTTCTTTAGCTTCAGAAAGCACAGAAGTTTACCTGACAGCGACAATACAGGGGAACTGTAGCAGACGTTCAGAAGTTGCCGCGAAATTTCCAGAAATGGTTAGATAATCTACTTGATCCGTATACCGGAGTGTATAGAATATTGCCATAAGATTTATCATTAAAAGGGAATCTTAATGAATCTGCTCTTAAACGAAATCTCAATATTTCTGTAAAAACAAAACGACATTTTGAACGATCTTCAATTTACGAAACAAGTATTCGAATTTACATTTCTTCTCTAAATGTCCTTATAGGCTTGTCAAATTGCCTTTAAGTTTGGCTGCTCATCCGCCAACACCGTGAACACCAGGTAAGGTGCAGTTTGTCTCAACACTGAAACAACAAACGCTAACGCAAATCTGTGTTCTGGGGCGGAGAGGAGCTGTATCTCAGTTGGCGTATTTTAGTTTTAAAACTGGTGTTTTTACTCTAAAAAAATCTTATCTAATGCAAAATAATCTACATTTGAAGTACATGTTACTTAATGTACAGCAATAGATTGACACAGAATGACATGAATTAATTTTATTTACCTCGGTTTATTACATCACAAATACTCTTTTGGTTAAATTTCAATGTATTTTAACACTTAAAAGTCACCAAACTACAAATAGAATGCCGAATAGAGAACCGTGCCCTAAAGAGCACGATGCATAAATTATGACTGATTATGCAATTGAAGCCGTGTGGTTACTCAGTTTTTGTCACGCAAGGTACGCCTTCGTCGAATTGCTCTCACTGCAAACGCTGTCCTTTCGGTAACATACTTTGTTTGGTGCTGGATTCTTTCTAATCTTTAGGCTACTCATTTTATAAAACGTCAAAACAGACCACAAGAGTATCCCCAAGAGTAACGTTGCGTAAATTAAGTACTGCGGGTCTCTTAATTCATAACCTGTTTAACTATTATTATTATTATTATTATTATTATTATTATTACTCAAGTAACGTTTTTTAAATTAAGGTAGCGACAATTTTTTTCACAAAACAAAGACAACAACAAGGTCCTATAATGAAAATGTTATTTATTGTAACAAATGGCTTTGTACTGTAATCGTAATAAGCTTTCATGGGAGAGATAAAACGAATATTAGGAAGAGGTAATGTAGTTCTATTCTCCAAAGTTGACAAATGTTTGAATAGGTGAAGAATGTAAAAGCGGATGAAGAAACTACTTGCAAACCTAAATGAACTCTTCCCACGATTTATTTTTGTTTAATACAGACTGTATAATCAGTCATAACTTATGCGTCTTACTCTTTTCGGCACGGTGTTCGATTCGGCATTTTACATCCTTCCCCTCTTACCTAGGTGTGGCAGTGTTGTTCTCGACTTCATGATGAGGTTCAATCGAAGTGTAGTTGTCAGCAATCTTTTGACTGTCCTGTTTGATGCTGCAATGGAAGACAAATTCGGAGGTTTTAAAGTCGATCCAGAATCAATTAAACAAGTTTTTATACCCACAGACGGCTCGGAAAGCACAACAAAAGGTAAATTTTACAAAGAAATATTATTATTAAATGTTTACACGAATTCGTCCGAAGAAGTACTTTTTCAAATTGTATTCCATATCTGTTTAATCAAACAACTCAATTCTGTGAGTCATATATTTCCAAGTTTTTTTTTGTCGCTGTTGTTGTTTTTATTTAGTTAAACAAAATCTTACTTTTAAAAATTTTTATAGGGAGAGTAGCATCTTGCTTTTACTTAGTACCTAGCAAATAAGAGTTAACGGTTTTCGTTTAGGAGCGTAAGCTATGTAGTGAGGGCAGTGTGTTGACCACGATCACTGTAAATGTTGTTTGAATGTTACCTGATCAAGCTTTGTAAACTGAATCATTTTAGGTCCTGAGGAATGTAACTGCCCATCTAACAACGTCTCGTTAGCCATAAATGGGGTTCTTGCCTTCATAATCGTTCTTCTAATTATTTACATAATCTGGCTACATAAGAAAGGTAGGTAAAAAATTCATAATCTATGATAGAGGGTTTGGCTGCAAGATTCATTATTAAGCAAAAGCAAATCTTGACCCAAATCCACATCATTTGTCTTTTTTTTTTTCCTTTCGTTCTTTTTCAGGCGCTGTAGGGAAACAGAGGTAAGAATTTGCTGCCACTTGGATTGTGTCGATGTAATGTTCCAGATATGGTATTATCTTATAACAAACTTCCACTTAAAACTGATGCAATTCTCAGCTCGTCATAATTATTTGTATACTTTCTCAATTGTAGGACCTATGAAGATAAAAGAGGTGTTTCCTACGTAAGTTACAGCCAAGACGTTGAAGTCATGTTAGTGTGGCCAGTAATTATGTAATCTCGCTTTACCTCTACTCGCTAGAAGGAAATAAAGGCTTACAACAAATAGGAAGGAAAAAAGGTGTAGTTCTACAAAAAAGGCATAATGCATTAGTGACAGGTACAATAGAATATAGGAAGAAGTTTGACTCAATAGGGTCTTTGTCCTGGGATCATGTCATTTACCAAGCTACTCCATGGATTTTCCTTCGGTTGTTTCTGAGACAATTGCATGATTTCACTTCATAGATCGCAAACTGGTCTGCACCCGGTTGATATTTGTTTTGTAAATATTTTTTTTCTCACGCCGTTTTGGCCGTCTGTTTATCTTGATGCCTTACTTTCAAAGCGTTAGTCCTGGAGCTTAGTACAGCAAGAGTTTTTTTTTCGTGTGTGCATTTGTCAAAAAATTGCACTACCAATCGACGATCCTCATGTTGTAGTTTGTAGCTTCAGCGAATATGCTATGAACCTCGATCACTCCATTGGACGTGATAGTTTCAATGGCAGAGAACAAAGTGTTTGTAATAAGAAACATTAGTAATATTAAAGGACAAGAGATTATAAACTATTAATAATCTCTTGTTATGGAATAATATAAACGTTTGTCTGATGAAAACGGGTAAACTGATTTCTATAAACATGTAGGGCATTTTATTGGGATTAATAACAGATTTGTATATGAATACCTTAACGGCATGTTGGTTTAATAGAATGAAACAGGATTAGAAGATAGCGAACCAAGTCTACTCGATTCAGCAAAACTCACCCAGCCTCCTGCGGAATACATGGATCTCATAGAAGTCAACAAACATGATAGAAAGGCACAAAGTACTGCTTCAGGTGCTGATTACGTGCCTCTTCATCCGTTAACACGCTGCTGGGAAGTTCCAAGATACCACGTGACCATAGAAAAAATCATTGGTAAAGGTGCTTTTGGTCAGGTTGCCAAGGGAACAGCAGTAGGACTTCGAGGGAGTCCTGAAACGACCACAGTGGCTATTAAGATGCTTAAAAGTGAGTTCTTGAACTGTAAATTGAATGAGAGTCTTGGCCTACAGTCATATACTGTTACCGGGTTACCGTAACTTTTTAGCTATTTGTGATTGGATAACTTATGTCGCTATTTCGACATTTTGCATATTATTCCCGTAAACCAAATTTTACTCCTTATTTTAACGCTCCAGAAAACGCTACTGAATCGGACAAGAGAGATTTGATGAAAGAACTTGACACAATGAAGCAGCTGAAACCACATCCTTACGTCATTAAACTTCTGGGATGCGTTACAGAATCTGGTAAGCTTTGATTATGAGGTCTAATTTTGCTGTACACATTTTGCATCTGATTTACTCTGTAACGCTTTCTCGTCATTGATAATTTGTTTCAGTGGAAGATTCACTGCTTCACAATTGCGCACAACAAACAACCATCGCATATGGTAATTTTATCCTTTTTTTAGCTAACATCGACGCTCTTGGATTTGCTGATAGACGAAGACCAAATATTTGCCATTGTACAAGCCATCCTGTTGTATAAGCAGAATCGCTTTTTCTAAGGGAATATTTGGTCTGTACCTTCTTATGAGATCGTTACAAAGTTTTCCAGCTTTTCATCGTAAAACTACATCTTGTTTTCGTGCGATTTCTTCAAATGTATTGACCCTGACTGCTATTTATTTTTTTTACTTATTGCTAATTTTTTTAGAGAGAGAAATATCTAAATGAAACTGTTTAATTTCTTCAGAACAGCTGCTGGTTTTGATTGAATATGTGCCTTTTGGGGATCTGCTGGGTTACCTGAGAAAGAGCCGTGGATTAAAAGACACTTACTTCCAAGACCCGGATGTCAAACCACAAACAAATCTGACGTCACAGCAGCTGATGAAGTTTGCTTGGCAAATTGCTGATGGAATGAGTTATTTGTCCTCAAAATCTGTAAGTTCATTAAAAAGGCACCAAAGAAAAACAATTCTAAAACCTTCTTGTAAGGTGTATCGTCATGTTAAGCTATGTCTTGCATAGAAAAATACGTCTTCACAAGATCACGCCCGGGATATGCAAACGTATTCTTACCGTCTTGTTGAGGCTATTTCTTTAGGGCCAGGAACCCTACCAATTTTGACGTCATCACCTAAGTTATATTTCAGTGTGCGAATGGCGATATTTGTGCATCGCTGCAAGAGTACCTCATCAAAATAAAATATCTGGGTTTTTCTCGTGTAGGCAAAGGCAGAGACGTGAATGAATAGGATCTTTAATTCAGCCTAAACTGAGTGTACAACGAATATTCATTTTAGTGACAAGAAAGAAAAGGAATCAAAACTTGAAATTAAAAAATTCGTCTTTGGTTGCAAAAATGCTACATTACAGAACCCTACTTCGAATAAAATCTTCAGATTAGCTTTCTATGTAATAATTATGAATTGCAGAAATAAAGTGGTTTGCTTCTCTTTGGAATATGGAACAGCGATTATAGTAATTTTAATTTTCTGCCATCTGGAATAAAGAGAAATACACACATCATATTATGTCGCTGGATATTTCTATTTTCCTATCTGAACCATTTCATTTCAGTTCTTTTTCTTCTGAAATCGCTAATTTTTGCTCTCGGATCAATGCTTTCTTAGATCATTCACCGAGACCTTGCGGCTCGTAATGTGTTGGTTGGACATAAGGAAACTTGTAAAGTGACAGACTTCGGAATGGCCAGAGATGTGCAGCAGGAAAATATTTATGAACGAAAGACTAAGGTAATCAAGAAAGAGGGGAGGTGGGGGCGGTACTACATATCGTTCAGTTTACTGATCTTTCACAATCATTGTACTCTTGATTTCGATGACAAAATCCTTGGACGGGACCGTAATGAAAATATTAGCCTTGCGTATACGAGTATAATTTTAAATATCACTGTCTTTGACCGGTCGCTTCCTATAATTTTTTAGCTGTTTCACAAAGTGATATTTGAAATCTTTAGGGCCGTCTTCCCGTGAAGTGGACAGCTTATGAGGCCTTGATGTATGGTAAATATACCACCAAAAGTGATGTGTAAGTATACCCGATTATTACCCGTAGCAATTTTCCAACAAGTTTTACCAATAGAATAAGAGAGAGGGTAAGTTTTGGGCTCGGTAAAGAAATAGAGAAAGATGTTTTTCATCCTCTCACGAGCATTGGACAATGAAAAAAAATTCTTGACTCCCCATGAGGAATCGAACCTTAGACCATCGGATTCCGCGCTCCGATGTTCATACCACTGAGCCACAGAGACTCTATGGTGAGCTAAGTCTATTACTAAGTTCATATGACACGCGTCCTGCATACTGCAAGGATCAGCAATGTCGATATAGAGTCATGTTTGTAAATAAAAATAAGAGAAAGAATCGGAACGTGGAATCCGAAGGTCTGAGGTTCAATTCCTCGTTGGGAGTCAAAATTTTTTCTTTGTCCCACACTCTGACAAGACGAAAAAAATCTTTCTCTAAGTGTTATAAATTTTAACTAGGGCATGAATTCTATGCTTTGTCAAAGAATACATGTATTTTAATTGTCGTATATAATGTTAATGTCTTCAGTCACCCAATATATATTTGTTTGATTTGTCTTTCCGCAGATGGAGTTACGGAGTTTTGCTGTACGAGATTTTCACCATAGGTAACATCGAATGGAAATTTATAAGGCCCTGTAGATGTTTTTTGCTATATACCATGTTTAATTAAGCAATTTAACGTGTTCGGTTAGACAAACGTAATGAGCTTCAAACTACATCAAATGACCTGGGTGGCGTTTCAGTGAAGGTCGTTTTTTCGTCACATTTATATTTCGATGGTCTTATGGTTCTTCTAGGTGGTTCACCTTACCCACGAATGGATGGAAGAAAAATTGCAAACTTACTTCAGGATGGATACAGGATGCCTAAACCACAACACGTCAATGAAGAATTGTAAGTGTTTTTTCAATTCGTTCTCTCTCACCCTACAAAGAAGCGTTCTTTAAATCTCTAACAGATCATTTGAACAATACCAGGTATCAGATTATGATGAAATGCTGGAAGAATGACCCAGATGCAAGACCAACTTTTACTGAATTGAAAAATCAGCTTACGGACATGGAAACCCTACACAAGGTGAGAATTTTGATCAACATGAAAGTTTCTTTTCACGTTAGACCGACTGGCTTAGGCTCAGCTAATTAGGGTTTTAAACATATTAGCGTTTAGCTTAGATAGCGTGATTTTTACGAAGTTTGGATTGCATCTTCTTGTTATGTCACTGAAGCTAGCACTCCACGAAAAACGGGGAAGAAGCGAACTAGAATGCCCCTGCTTCAATTGACTCATTATGGTTATTTAAAAGATGGTAGGATTATTACAAAACTGCATTGAGACGCGCAAAGAGTAGCAGACGACGACGCCATGAAATACTTTATTGAATGTGTTTTGGTGTGAAAAGCTGACCACTTGTGAGTATAACGCTTATAACTTAAGAGGAACACTTTTTTAATGATGCTGATTATTATATTATTCTTTTCTGCAGAAGCTGATCAACATGACAATGTACGACAAGCAGTTGTATGCAAACGTCGAGGATTTAATAGTGTAGTTAGATCATAGATTTCCGCGGTAAATGACTGGCTTACAGTTTGAACACTTTGCCTCAGCAAGTTTCAGGGATGAATCATCTTTGCCTTACACGCTTACTTGGTAGAAAAAGCCATTTTGTATTAAGAAATTAGGCTGGAACGTTATGACTCAATTGATTTTATATTCTTAAACGCTGTAACGCTTTTATCAGTTTACTGATAAAATATACTCTCATGTTCTCTTTAACATGTTTAGCACTTACACGCATGCTCGACACAAGCGTTTGAATTCAGTTTATTTCCTGGCTCAATTCTGAAAGGCAGGACAGCGCAAAAAAAAAAAAGCTAGTTAACTAGATTGATGAGATCTAGCTCAGATTGCCATAGTTGTCTACAGTTTTAGTAAATTGCTGAAAAAATTGTTTTGCCGCAAAACCCGCTCGATTTTAGGAAAGCTATCCGGCGCATAAACTGCTTTCCCTAAGACCGCATTTACCTGCGATACCAACTCGAAATACTTTTACACTGAAAGTATTATTAATTAAAAATTAACGTTATCCTAATAGAAAAATTATACTTGGCACATTACTTGAGCAATCGTCTTAGCTTTGAATCAAAGTGCTCTGTGAGCAAACTCGTGAATTGACAGGTGACTTACATAATTTTTTGGATTATGTTTAGGGTTATCTGGCTTAGGGAATTTTGTGGTTGATTGTCATATTTAGAGTACGAGCAGTAGTTCAGTGTTCGCTAATGTAGCAAATCAAATCACTTTGGTCGACAGAAAAATATTGGTTTCAGAATTAATTTGTATAAGCAATAGTGTCAATTACGTTAGTTGACAAGCGGCCTTAAAACCGTCTGCAGTTAATTTTAATCGTTCTCAAAAAGTACATAGAAAGTTAAAACGTGAAGTATTTGGTTACAGTTAAACTGAACGATGTAACTTTTATTCATTTAATATCTGAATTTTCTCAAACGATTTGTTCGTAGTAAAAGAGCGAGCGAAGTTTTAGTTTAAGTTCTACAACAAATTTACGCTCTCGGTGAGTCTTTCCGAGTCCGTTCAATTTGGACATTTTTACCGTAAATTGCACAATAGAAACTGAAGGAATTTAATGAATAAAGGCCGCATTAAATCCCCGTTTGTTTCGTTGGAGTGTACCATTCGAATTTAGTTTTCGTGGAGGAAAGACCAGATTTACACACGCCATTGCAGCAAACAAACGAACAAACTCTCACAACTTCAAAATAAAAAAATTGAATTTACTCGCATTTTTTCCTCGCCGTTTACTTAATGAACAGAGATAAATCTTCGTTCATGAATGAATCGTCGATAAGAGTGAATAATACTCTCCGTTAGACATTGACTGTTTTTGAACTAAACATTGTCGTGACAGTCCTAGCCAAACTAGTTCCGTTGTTTTTCAAATGTTTTCTCGCGTTTTTTTTTTCTTATGCTCCCCTTAATTGACAGGTGTCAGATTGTGACAGATACTTGTAAAAATAATGTTTCAAAGTTTGTTAGGAAGCCTTTTAAATCACCTTTATCGTTACGGAAATGAAAATGTTTCGGTGAGTCATCTCTCTTTAATTTGCATCACCTCCATTTTAACTACCATATACTCGCTCAAAAAATTGTTTAGTTTAGGAAAGATCTTGCCATATTTACAGCCCTAAATCATTCGGGTTCTTTCGGAAAGAATTTCGTCAAGTTTAAAAAAAATTAAATATGCTATGTACCGGCTAAGGGTCGGTCCGTATTGTGAAAAACTGTGACCTCGGTCTTAAAATGCTTTTCACCATACTGACCTCCCAGCCGGCAAATAACTTACATATATCATTTGTGTTTCTTGTTCAAAAGAAAAGGTTGGAAGTAAATGTGGGTTAAAAGCGAAATTTACTGTCTATCATTATAAATATTGGAAAATCAAGGCAATACTGTCTTAATGAAAACATTAATGATTCCCTCTTTATCAAATGAGACAAACAGGAACTAGTTTTGAGTGACATAAGTAAGCCAAGACTGCCACCGTCATTTTGGACGTGCTAGGCAACGTATATTCAAGAACAAGATAGAATTTCATTTCAGACCTGTTTATCCATTTTGTGGTGTATAAGTTTCGCATTTTGGTACGTAATATCTATTTAGAATCTTCAAATTGCCTTGAAACTTGGAAGAAAATTGTTCTTTAAACATTCACTGGAAATCGGTAGCCAAAATTATTTGTTTAGGTGTTATTTAATTTTCGTGTTAACCTGTAATTTCGTCAGTCGCCAGCACCTTTTGTTGCTTCACACAAGAAAAACACACGATACGAAATGCAATGATCGATTTTGTCCCCAATCTCACGTTATAACAGAAAAAGCTTTTGAACACTTGTAAAGCTCCGAGCGCTTCGGAATAAGTGATATTTTTAATGAATCTTCGAATTGTTTTCAAGTTCAAGGATTGTAAATAGCAGTTTTATGGAAAACGAAGGTTGTTCTCTTATTTCAGTGTGAATCCTCGCACGCCATCCAGTCGCTAGCGCCGCTTGTTGAAACTAAAACGAAAAAAATAACTCTTTTAAGATTATCATTGGCTTCTTTTTCACCTCACAACTATTCTTAGCAACAAAGGTCGCCATTTCGTTTGTTTATTACTCGCCAAAAACTATCAAATGCACTCAAAAGTCTAAAACTGAAAAAATGTTTACAGGAATCGATCAATCGAGCGAGCGAGCGAGTGCTATTATCCAAATCATATCTACAACTCGCTCTTGCGCATGCGCGCGATTCACGAGTTAAAAATGAATTTGCTGAAAATTTTATATAGAATTTGGAAGATTTTTGCCTGGAGGGAAATGACTTTTTCTTAACATTTCAATGTTAAAATTTGTGAAATACAAGGTATAAAACCCAAAAGAAACTAAATTTTAAGATCTGAAGTTTTTGGTAAATCAGAAATGGTGTTTTGTGATGAGAAAATTTCTTAAGAAAAATAGATCAATTTCGCGGCTAGTCTTAGTCAGGCATGACTGACCAGGATTAGTCAAAAGTCACGTGGTTTGATGTAAATGGCCTTTCGTCAATAAACACTTTTTCTAAAACATTTGCTATAATTATAGCGTATAGCAATAAGATGAAACTCTGTACCATATGTAAGACCCGAGTACTCCTCGATCTCTTCGTGAATCTTATCGGTGTTTATCACCTTGCAGGTAAATAACTTTATCTCCTAGGATTTGTCGTCACAATCAGGAGCATGTAGCGAAAGTGTGATGATATTTTAACACTTACCATTTAAATGCACGGATTTTCCCCCTGGAGATGTTTATTAAATCATTAGTGCTCTTTCGAGTACCCTGGAGAGGATAAATAATAATAATAATAATAATAATAATGAGAACGGGTGCTGACCATACAATTTTGGAACAGTCAACAAAAGTTAGTGCTCTGGGAATTATGGGTAGTTGTCGTCAAGTAAACTGCGCTTTGTCACGAAAGAGGTAATAAACGGATTGGTAACGGGACGTACAGTGTAAATTGCTATTACCGGCGTCCAGAGTATTGTCTTGGATAAGACCACTTATCGTTTCGCGTACATTTCCTGATAAATGCAAAGCGTAATAGTAAATGATGCGATGATAGCAGCTGAGTGAAAAAAACGGGGGAGGGGTGGGTCGGGTCGCGTACTGTTTTGCTGCCACTATCGCGCAGTTCATTTATTTCGTTCTGTTTTGCTAACTGAACGCCTAGAACCGGCTAATGACTCCAAGTCTCTGCATTTTTTAATTCAGTGGACTTGCTTAAGAAATGGACGTAAGCCGTAATGAAAGAACCTTCATACAATTACTTCATATACTTATTATAATATGTGCACTATATTTAACAGTTGTTCCATGAGCCCGCACCTGATAAGGACTGGCTATGCCAATCTCGTACCCAACAAGTCAGAAACAGGAACCAATGGAATAATTGACCGCACGACTTGACCACTGAGCTTGTACAGATGAAATGTTACCTCTAAATACCTGTCGGTTCATTCTGTCAATTGAATTTAAAAAAATTGACCCCATCAGAAAACCTGAGTAGCCAAAGAAAGTAAAAGGGAGACGTTGAATTCCACGTGTTTAAAAAATATATGTGGATCAACCCTAACCCAAACCCAGAGGCTTCACGAAGCAGAAAAAAATTGTTTAGGTTAATATGTAGTTCAGATTGACACTCGAATAAAATATGATTTGTTAAAAGCTTCTTAATAGACACTCTGGTCTTTATGTTTTATCGTTATGTAAATGAAATGGGTGTTTTGTATGGCGTAACATACCGTTCAAAATTCAGTCAGGTTATTTTCCCTATCGAAAATTAATTTAAGTGTCGGAAATCGATTTACAGGGTCCGTAATTGTTGGCCTCTTTCAGACCTCCTCATTGTCTGCTATTTCCCGTGTCTGAAAGAAAACATTCAAGGAAAATGACACCCGAGCCATGGGGTAAAAAATGCTTGGTGGGACCCGGCTACGCCAATTGTTTCGTAGGTTTTATCGAACACCAGTTATTCAGTCAATACAACGGCCCCAAACCTGAACTCTACGATCGCTACATCGACGACTGTATCAGCGCCACCTTTTCTACCAAGGATGAGCTGACTCAATTAATAGCCGTTATCAATTAATTTCGCCTGGCTCTGAAATATACTCTGAAATATAAGTAGTTCACTTTTTGGTAATCCGTTTTAACTCTCAATTTTCTTCAAATTAAAGCTACCTGAAGTCAATATCATATCTAATCGTCGAAACGGCGAAACTTGAATCACATAAGCAACGGTTAAGTTACGTCCGAAGCTGAATGAAAATTCAACGCAAGCAGTTTAATTCAGCTGTACACAATAGGCAAGCGAAAAATTTTGGGAACAGGTTGATTAAGTGTTTTGTTTAACTGGAACGAAGCAAAGCTTGTGATCGAGGATAGCTTTCGTTTCAATATCCTGACGTCAATTTCTCGCTTCGAACGTACGAGTTAAGGGTTATATTCCTACTGAGACATTTGGTTAAATCAGTAAAGATAGTTATACCCTAATGTTCAAATGTTTTGCTGCGTGGTAGCGAACGGAGGTTGTATATCAGATGATAACCGAAATTCAGAGAACTAATAAGAACACTTGTATATGAAATATCATGATCTTGAAATTTAATGGAAATAGATGGTTAGTGAGTGCGTACGACTCTTATTCAGTTCGGACTCAAACCTACCACCTTCCGTTCAGTACTTCAGACACTCTAACACTTACCATGACGAGCTTTGCTCACCAAAAGAATTTATGCAAATGAGGCTGAGGCGGATCTGAGATCCGCCTGGCAATTATTAACTGTAAGAGAAGAACTGACTTCGCGCCCACAGAACGACCGAGGTGTTGCGGATGAATTTTCAGTAATTACTTTTTGGGCACTTTTCGGCGTCCAAATTGCATGGCGAGAGTAACCCAAAACCTTAAAGCAGACCCTTCTTGTCACAATACGAATGTTTTCCAGATAGGGACACGCGTTAATGTCAGCTCCACTCGCGTGATTGCATTTTTCAAGGTTAAACCCTCGCGTGGATCTAACAACTCAAGTTTACTTTAAAGCGCACAATGTAAGCCAAAGTAATTTTATAATTTAACTCCATGATCGAAATTTTGTTTGCAAAGGATAATAATAGATCGAAATCGACCTAGAGCGTCAGCTTCACTCGCGGGGAGTCAACCATTTTCTGGCTCATGGCTCGTGTACGACGACCTGACTGACGTCATTAGTTATTTACCTTCGTCACCGATTACAGTAGGCACATAGGGTACATAGGAACAGAGGCCCAGAAGAACAGTAGGTACAGAGGAACAGTAGGTTCAGAGGAACAGTAGGCACAGAGGAACAGTGGGCACAGAGGAACAGTAGGCACAGAGGAACAGTGGGCACAGAGGAACAGTAGGCACAGAGGAACAGTGGAACAGTAGGCACAGAGGAAGAGAGGCACAGAGGAACAGTGGGCACAGAGGAACAGTGGGCACAGAGGAACAGTGGGCACAGAGGAACAGTAGGCACAGAGGAACAGTGGGCACAGAGGAACAGTGGGCACAGAGGAACAGTAGGCACAGAGGAACAGTGGGCACAGAGGAACAGTGGGCACAGAGGAACAGTAGGCACAGAGGAACAGTGGGCACAGAGGAACAGTGGGCACAGAGGAACAGTAGGCACAGAGGAACAGAGGAACAGTGGGCACAGAGGAACAGTGGGCACAGAGGAACAGTGGGCA